TTTAATCTGTGATTGACAACGTATACTCCTCTATCTGAATACCTGTGGAACAGCACCCAGTAACACATTCCTATAATATACCATGACTGTTCCACTTAAAGGATTATTTTCAGTTTGACCTCGGTCTGTGGAGTGGCTGTCAGCTCTCCTTTAGATCAGACTGGTAGGAAAACCTGTTGAGACATACATATCTGCTTCGCTGCTCTGAGTACTCTTATGTGGGGTTCACCTGCTAACCATCAACAGCCTCCGTTGTCAGAGCTGTAACTATATGTTGAAGGAACATGCATTATCTTGTAAAAACAGTGGTTAGACAGAATGTCACAGGAAAGATACCTGCAGGGGTTAGGGGATATCAAAGAGCTAAGTGGTGGCTTCCACAGTGTCATAAAAGAAAGCCTCACACTTGTTTTGTTTTTCCTTCTCCTTTTACACCACAGCACAATGGACACAGGCGATCCCCGCCACCGCCGGCCGGGGGGCGCCCGCGGGGCTGGACGCCGCCCCCACCCCCCCCCCCCCCCCCCACGGCCCCCCCCCTCCGCCGCCCCCTCCCCCCTCAACCTCGCCCCCCGTCGGGCCGGCCGCCGCTCCACNGTGATAGAGTGATACAAGTAATGGTTTAAACCAGTGGTTCTCAACTGGTTTGGCCTCGGGACCCACTTTTTACTTGGTCAACACATCGCGACAATGTTGGGTCGCGATGTGTTGACCAAGTAAAAAGTGGGTCCCGAGGCCAAACCAGTTGAGAACCACTGGTTTAAACCATTACTTGTATCACTCTATCACTCAGCGCTAAAAGTGCCCTTAATGGGCAGGCGCCATCTTACCTTAAATATACCCTGTCCGCATTGCGTTCCAAGAATGCAGGGTTCTTGGTTGTTCCTAGAGTCTCTACAAGTACAATGGGAGCCAGAGCCTTTTCTTATCAAGCTCCACTTTTGTGGAATCAGCTTCCAGTTTGTGTTCGGGCGGCAGACACCCTATCCGTTTTTAAGAGTGCGCTTAAGACCTTCCTTTTTGATAAAGCTTATAGTTAGGGCTGATTAGATTCAGCCCCTAGTTTTTCTGCTATAGGCTTAGTTTGTCGGGGGACACCTTACGTCTTCCTTATCTCTGTCTGTACCATAGACTGTATATATAAACCTGTGTACTCTCATGATCCGAATAACCCAGCTTCCCCCAGATTTCTTTTTGGTGTCGATCTACGGCGGGATCCTGAGTCGTGGCTGATCCTGTTGCTGCGGTCCTGAGTCCTGGATCGCGAGCCCTGGATCCTGAGGGACATCCTCTTGGATTCATCTTCTTATTTTAGACACATGCATTTCCAAACATTTGGTCTACCTACGCTGTAAAATGTATTATCTCTTCGATTTACACACGGCATCTATTGCACGTCTGTCCGTCCTGGGAGAGGGATCCCTCCTCTGTTGCTCTCCCTGAAGTTTCTCCCATTTTCCCCTTTAAACTTTGGGGGCTTTTATTTGGAAGTCAGGGCTTTTATGATCCTGTCTGAAGTGAAACCTACAGGAATTGAAACTTACTTGTTTCACTAGTTGAAATGGCTCAAGTCAAAACAAGGGCAAAATCTACTTCTCATTTGAGTAATTTTGTTGGCACTGGTTGGTGTCTGAACTGCCAACTGTGAGGGACGTCTACTTGAGGGATCACAGTAAAGATGACAGGAGCAACTACCCAGTGGACCAGCTGGTGGGTGACATCTTCCCTGGTCTGATTGGTCAGTGGTCCAAAGCGAATGCGCTTTTCAAGCCACCTGTTATTAATGAAAAGGAGACCATCATGTCCAAGCTCAAGGAGGTCTGGAATCAGGCAGTGACGTTTTCCCATGGGAAGGGCAAACTTGATGCCAAAGAGAGGTTCAGTGTCAAGTTAGACACATTATTTGATATTTTGACTTGCAAGTGTCAGATTACCAGTTGTGAGAGGGGAGGCTGTGATGGCTGTGTGATCCAAGCCCACATTAACTGTTCCTGCAGGAGAGACAAAATGATTCCTTTTAAAAAGGCCTTGCATACATCAAGGGACAGAAAGAGAAGGTTGGAAGTAAAGGGCCCCACCAAATGGGGGCCCCTGATCTGCAGGAGCACAAGAGACAGGTGGGGACATTGGAAAGGCAGGGGATGGAAAACATGGCTGAGGAAAGGAGAAGGAGCAAGGAGGAAAATGCTGCAGCAGCAGACAAGGCAGCCAGGAAGGATGTTAAGAGGTTTTTGGCAGATGGTGATGAGGATCTGGAATTGGAGAGTGGTGCTGAAGATGAGTTTGTCCCTGAAGTTGAGCTCTTCCCTGAAACTGAACCTGAGCCTGCAGCTTCAACAAAAGGACAGAAAAACTATGATGATATTCCAAATATTGCGCTTGCTAGTGTAAGGTATGGCATAGGGCTGAGACCAACTGCAGCTCGGATTGATGCAGGAATCATCACAGGGATAGTGGTGGTCTAATGGATAGTGAGGTGGGCTGAAGATCGGAAGGTTGTGAGTTCAATTCCCGCCAGGAACACCACCACTAGTGTGCCCTTGAGTAAGGCCCTTAGTTACTCCAGGGAGAATGTCCCTGTAATTGGTAATGTAAGTCGTTTTGGATAAAAGTGTCAGCTAAATGAAATGTAATGTAATCACAGAAAGACAACACAAGTAAAGTGATTGATAGAAACAAGGTCAAGAGAGCACAGGAACAGTTGATGAGAGAGCTGGGAGAAGAGTTTGAGGAGATGGGGGGGATCTCCTGCATCCTCTTTGATGGGCGGATTGACCTGACAAATGTGATGATGGAAGCTGAGGGCTGTGACCAATCTTTTCCTGCAAAGATCAAAGAAGAACACTATAGTGTTGCTAGTGAGCCCACATCCTGTTTCAGCTGGACTGCCTCAAGTCCCAGAGGAAGGAGGTGCTGGACCTTGTGATGCCAACTGTGAGAAGATCTGCTTGGTATGCCCACAGTGAAGCCATCCTCCAAACACTGCTGTGCTCTGAGGATCAGAAGGAGATAATTGAGGGGGTGGAGAGAATCCTGGCCATTAGGGGAGAGGGGGACCCAGACACTCAGCTGAGGGACTCCTCTGTCAGGACCAGAAGGACACCTGACATCAATTGTGATGCTTCCAGCATTGGGGACTGGATCAGCTGGTCAGAAGGTGTGTCAGAGCCACCTCTCACCTGCTTGCTAAGCACCTCAGAGGTGAAAAACGTCATCAAAACCCCCATGGAGGTACTCAACTGGCCTTGCCATACTCAAAGCATTGAGAGGGTTGTTAAAATGGTGACCGAGGCTTCTGCTAAGTACTTCTCACAGGAAAAGAGGGATGGAGGGATCAGAGCTCAGGAGACCAGCAGGAGACTGATGTCCAAGAATGAGTCAAAGCAGGACTTGTGCAACCTGGCAAAGTTCAAGAAGTCAGAAGATTGATCTTTGTAATCGTATCCAGTTATATATATATGCAGTTCACCTGTTAATAAATATGTAAAAAGGATTTGGCTTTGTCAATATAAATTATTTCCCTTATATCTTTTACTATCTTATATAGAGGTTCGAAAGGGTACAATTGCCAATTTAGAAATAAAAAACGATGTAGCTTAGAGTTATCCTATCCAAAAAATAAGCTCACATTTGAATTCCCCATAAAAAAGCACATCATTTACTGTAGACACCCCTCATGTTAGGATTTCCTTCAGATTCATGTTGGCACCTGAGTATGACCCGCCCTAGTGTCGTATTGTCATACTGATATTCTGTACAAACTGTGAAGTCCACTGAGACAAATGTAATATTTGTGATATTGGGCTATATAAATAAACATTGATTGATTGATTGATTGATTGAAAGTAAAAAATACAATCATCAATACAAGTTTAAAAGTGCATTAACAGTCAAATATACTTCTAAAAACCCAAAAAATAGTTTTTGCTTATATATTTGAATGTCCTTGTATATATTGTATTATACTTAAAATTGTAATGTTTTATTAAAAATAATAATAATAAAATGTCATTGTCATATCTTAACTTTTTAGGAACAATCCCTTTTAACTGCAGCCGTCCCACAAATGAAGAGGAGTAAAAACTACAATGTATTCCTCTAAAATGTTGTGGAGCGGAGTACTGGTAAATCAGTTTAGATAATTTAGTTTTAATTGGTTGTTTCACCAAAGTCACACAATAACAAAAACAAACAAACAATTGAGAGAACCCCTGTGTTCTGCAAAGTACAATGACTGCTTTTGTCAATGGAGTCTGGCAGCTCTGCAGAGGGCAAAGCTAATGGCACCCCCCTCGCAAAGGCCTGCTTGAAATATTCTAAATATAGTGTACACAACAACTGATGCATTTCTTGTTGGGTACTTTTTAAGAGGCTAAAATCAGTTTGTTATGCCCCTGATCACTTATGTAATGGCTTGACTATGGATTAGATCCTTATACAACCCCATTTAAAACAATCCTAATTATACCTTTAAGTGTACTAAACTGACATGGTGAAGTCAGCTGACACCTTTTGTTAAGGTAGGCTAAATAGCATAGAATTATGTGGTTATTCATTTCTAGTTCTGTGAACACAAGCAGATGAAACAAGGAAACAACTGAGGAGTTGTAAGCAATTTATCTGGGGATTGAGGACACTGTCCTGTGACCCAAGCAACAAGTCTTCAGACATGAAGAACAAATGTTAGGGGAGGATCTGAACACTTACTGTAACTTCCACTGACATGGGACATTGTGTACAAAAGGTTTGGTGACACCCTAAGGATGCTCAAACCATTTGTTCCAAAATCTGCAATAACTAAAGAACTGATACCAATGACAATTCATATTATATGCCACCTTTTGTTTGTAGTGTCATTCAGCAGTCGTCACATTTCGTCTGCAGCTCTGGAGGGCAGAATGTCAGCTGGTGGAGCTTAACTTCTGCGCATGCCCAGAACAGCGTTTCCTACGTAGCACGCATGCGCAGTTCCCCTCCTCGGCCATTCATATAAAGCTGCAAGTTCCTCCGTCTCTTTACACCTTCAGCCATTTTGACAATGTTGGGAGCTGTGGGACGCTGCTGCACCGGAGCACTGCAGGCTCTTAAGCCTGGGGTCGCGCCCCTTAAGGCCCTCGCTGGATCTCCAGCCGTGCTCTCACGTAAGTCCTGCATGCTATGGAGCGTTTCAGCTAAATCGCAATAAGTAAAATACGCATTTACCAGCCTGTCAGGGAAGGGCAGGGGCAATGCTAATTTTAGCTAGCTATCGGTAGCATCATGCAGGCTGCCATAGCAGGCCTTAACATTAATATGTCTGATTTTAAATCTGCTGGACTAATTGCAAACGTTTGTATGGGTACACTTATGCATTTATGTTCATGTTGACACATGTCATGCAAAGGAAAATATCCAGGCTGTGTTTTTCTTGTGCTTGCATCAATGACCTTTATGTAATGACATGAGGCTGCCATCAGAGCCTGCTAACTTAGCATTACTTGTTACGTTTTAGCAAGGTCTGGCAAGTAGATTAGCAATGCAGAAAGACACCTTTCATGTTTATCCACAATATCATTACATTAATATACAAACAGTATAAGAATAACGAGTAGGGTTGATCATAAAGGTACTTGCCTTTCAATGTCCTGCGTTTGTCATTAGCCGATGTCACATTAGCCATGTTAGCTTGAAGTAACATTAGACTTCATTCATCGGTCATTCCACGTTATTTGTATTAAGTCAGGAAATACCTTCTTAACGTTTGCACTGGTTAATACATTGGATCTCACAGAATTTACGTTACTCTTATCGATTGTTTAAGAGGGCGTTACTCGATAATTTAATGTTTTTTAAAAGCTTAGTTTGTCCGACAGCAATTACTTGACATTGAGAAGGACCGCAGACACGCAGATGTCCCTTTCCGATGCTATTTAACGGGAAGGATGGCATGTTTGAATACACTGGCCTGACAAGGTCATGACACTGAGCTAACTGGTACTGTTTACTCTCCAGGCAGAGACTATGTCGCACCTGTCGCCGCTGCTGCAGCCGCCTCAGGCCGCATTGTGGCTGTCATCGGTGCCGTCGTCGACGTCCAGTTCGACGAGGACCTTCCTCCCATCCTCAATGCCCTGGAAGTAGCCGGCAGGGAGTCCAGGCTAGTCCTGGAGGTGGCACAGCATCTTGGTGAGCTACTTGAACTTTAACCTTAAGTCTTGTAAGTGGGTGCTTACATTTCTACAGTGGACAATGAACTAAACAAATGTTTGTGTTTAGGCGAGAACACAGTGCGTACCATTGCCATGGATGGTACCGAGGGTCTGGTCCGTGGACAGAGGGTTCTGGACACTGGCGCCCCCATCAGAATCCCAGTGGGTCCCGAGACTCTGGGCAGGATCATGAATGTCATCGGTGAGCCCATCGACGAGAGGGGTCCCATCACCACCAAGCAGTGAGTTCACAAAACACAATTTCATACATGATATTAAATAAACATTTTTTTTTACAAATGTCAAAATATTTACATAGTGAATTTGAGAGCAGTGTTGCAGCAAGGACTTTGAAAACATTAATATTGGTTTGCATTAATTTGTACTCTTTAAATAGCTGAAAATGTTTTTTCTTTCCTCCCATAGCACTGCACCCATCCATGCTGAAGCCCCCGAGTTCACAGACATGAGTGTGGAGCAGGAGATTCTGGTGACTGGCATCAAGGTGGTGGACCTGCTGGCCCCATACGCCAAGGGAGGAAAGATCGGTATGTGCTTACACATAAATATTTAGGCTTTTAAATTGGAATAACTGAAGCAAGCTCCTTCATTTATTTTGTAATAAAACAAATCTTTAATTTCTCAGGTCTGTTCGGTGGTGCTGGTGTGGGCAAGACTGTGTTGATCATGGAGCTGATTAACAACGTCGCCAAGGCTCATGGTGGTTACTCTGTGTTTGCCGGTGTGGGTGAGCGTACCCGTGAAGGAAACGACTTGTACCATGAAATGATTGAGTCCGGTGTCATCAACCTGAAAGACAACACCTCCAAGGTGAGGGTTTAGGCAACTACTGGAACTTGAAATAATACATTTTGAATATAAGCAAACATCATCCACTCACTTTTTATTGTTGTCTCTGCTAGGTGGCGCTGGTGTACGGACAGATGAACGAGCCCCCAGGCGCCCGCGCCAGAGTGGCTCTGACCGGTCTGAGCGTAGCAGAGTACTTCCGTGATCAGGAGGGTCAGGATGTGCTGCTCTTCATTGACAACATCTTCCGATTCACACAGGCTGGCTCTGAGGTCTGTACTAACCTCCATGTCTGTCAGTAGGATAACAATAAATATTTGTAATGGCAGTTAATTGGGATTGTTGCTTTTTAAACTCTGCTACAGATCTTAAATGTGACTCGATGATAACCAAAGCTCTTGCCTCTCAGGTGTCTGCCCTGCTGGGTCGTATCCCCTCCGCTGTGGGTTACCAGCCCACTCTGGCCACTGACATGGGAACCATGCAGGAGAGAATCACCACCACCAAGAAGGGATCAATCACATCTGTGCAGGTAAACTTTGAAACTGTAAAGAAGGACACTCAAATGGAAATGTTCTTTTTTAAATATTAACTGAGTCTCGATCCTCTCCACCAGGCCATCTATGTGCCCGCTGACGATTTGACTGACCCTGCCCCCGCCACCACCTTCGCTCACTTGGACGCCACCACTGTGTTGTCCCGTGCCATCGCTGAGCTGGGTATCTACCCCGCTGTGGATCCCCTGGATTCAACCTCCCGTATCATGGACCCCAACATCGTCGGAACAGAGCACTACGAGATCGCCCGTAACGTGCAGAAAATCCTTCAGGTTTGGGACTTAATAATTATCTTTTTATAAATATAGTTTAGGACTAAAAAAACGTATCAGGCTAACGAGTTCTACTTTCTTCCTCTAGGACTACAAGTCCCTGCAGGATATCATTGCCATCCTGGGTATGGATGAGTTGTCTGAGGAGGACAAACTGACCGTGGCTCGTGCCCGTAAGATCCAGCGTTTCCTGTCCCAGCCCTTCCAGGTGGCCGAGGTCTTCACCGGTCACATGGGCAAGCTGGTGCCCCTCAAGGAGACCATCAAGGGCTTCAAGAGCATTCTTGCCGGTAAGTGAAGAAGATCCGTCACTTGTATCAAGTACTTAATAATTCACACTTTTCTAGATGGTGCCTCATCTTCCTATTTGAAGTACTGATTTCTTTGGTACCTGTCCCCTGTAGGCGAGTACGACAGTCTGCCCGAGCAGGCCTTCTACATGGTGGGCGCCATCGAGGAGGTCGTTGAGAAGGCACAGAAGCTGGCTGAGGAGCACGCAAACAAAGACTAAACATCTGTGAGAAAATAGGAGGGAAAAAGAAGAGGGGTTCTGCGGTTAGGAGCACTTGGTTTGTAAAACATGTCAAAATACAAATGTACCTGTCTAGTCATCCTGAAAAGTTCTATTTAATGTTTCCAATGGAAGATGGAATAAAACACTGTCTTTACACAAAACAACTTGTCAACTGTTTTTACTATATGCTTAAAAAGTTGTAGAGAATCTTGTTCCTAATGGTGGATTCCATGAAGTTGCTGTAATCCACTCTGAACACAAGATGGCAGTCTTGGTCATGTTGAGTTATCTGAACTGTGTTGCAGCTTGTCACGTGCTGAAATAAAACAGTGGACAAACAAAGTGGATGAGTGTTTGTTTAAACTTTAATGGATAACAAACTGGTGGAAAAAAACATTCCCTTCTGACTGGTTCAGCTTAATAAAATACCAACTGCAGGTTTTACATAATTGTGCATACAGATTTGAGGGAATACAAATGTTATGATATAATAAAGGCATGTATTACCCAAGTAACCATGGCCAACAATGATATTTAAAGGCATTCGTGGAAGTGCCTTTGATTACTTTATTCCTTTGTGGAGCATACACGACATTCTATATTGGAGTCTGACCTCAGGCCGTAGATTTAGAGTAGCCGGATTATACAGGACTGTCTCAGAAAATTAGAATATTGTGATAAAGTTCTTTATTTTCTGTAATGCAATTTAAAAAAAAACAAAAAAAAAACAAATGTCATACATTCTGGATTCATTACAAATCAACTGAAATATTGCAAGCCTTTTATTATTTTAATATTGCTGATTATGGCATACAGCTTAAGAAAACTCAAATATCCTATCTCTAAATATTAGAATATCATGAAAAAGTATACTAGTAGGGTGTTCAACGAATCACTTGAATCGTCTAATTAACTCGAAACACCTGCAAGGGTTTCCTGAGCCTTGAAAAACACTCAGCTTGGTTCAGTAAACTAAATCACAAGTATGGGGAAGACTGCTGATCTGACTGCTGTCCAGAGGACCGTCATTGACACCCTCCATCAGGAGGGTAAGACACAAAAAGAAATTTCTCAAAGAGCAAGCTGTTCACAGAGTGCAGTTTCAAAGCACATCCACAAAAAGTCTGTTGGAAGGGGGAAATGTGGCAGGAAACGCTGCACAACCAAGAGAGATGACCGCAGCCTTAACAGCATTGTGAAGAAGAGTCGCTTCCAGAATTTGGGGGAGCTTCAAAGACAGTGGACTGAGCTGGAGCTCCCAGTATCAAAAATCACTGTTCACCGACAGTGTCCGGGATGAATGGGTACAATACCGTATTCCCTATGGTCAGCCAACTTCTGAACTCAGACAGACGGAAGAGGCGGTCTGACTTGTGGCAAGGAAAAGAAGCACTGACAGTGCCACAGTGGTCCAAAGTCCTCTTTCAGACGAAAGGCAACGTTTTGTATTTCATTTGGAAGTCAAGGCGCCATAGTCTGGAGACGAAGGCTGTGAGAGGAGCAAATCCAAGTGCTTGAAATCCAGTTTGAAGTTCCCCACAGTCACGGTATGGTTTGGGAGCCATGTCAGACTGGTGTGGTTCGGTTCCACTGTGTTTCACAGTGAAGCCAGGATGTTGTTAAAGTGCAGCTGTGTTAGCACGAAGAATGTGTGATAGCGAGTACGATGCTTCCGTCGCTTGAAAAGCTCTATGGAGATGAGGAGTTCATTTTCGCATGATCTGGCACCTGGCGCCAGAGCGGGCATAAACCACCAGTTAAACTGGTGTGCGGTGACCATGGGCATACTGTCCTCGATGTGGCCTGCAAATTTCCCACGACCTTTGAACCCCATAGAGAATGATGTGGGGTATTGTGAAGGAAGAAGGTGAAAGACACCAGACCGCAACAATGCTAATGAGCTAAGGTGCCGCTAGTTGAAGCTCCTGGGCATCCCATAACACCTCAGCAATGCGACAGGTCTGATTGCCTCCATGCCAGCGCCGCATTGATGCAGTGAATCCGTGCAAAGGATTCCCAACCAAGTACTGAGTGCATTAATGGACATTTTCAAATGTTTGATTCTGTTTTGCTGTTATAAAGATTTTTTTTTACCTTGGTCGAGGGAACTTTCTAATTTGAGATAGGGTTTGGTTGGATGTTTCGTTAAGCTGGGAGTATGCCCGTAGATCAGCAATTATTAAAATAATAAAAAGGCTTTGCAATATTTCAGTTGATTTTGTATATGAATCCAGAATGTATGACATTTTTGTTTTTTTTAAGTTGCATTACAGAAAATAAAGAAGCTTTATCACAATATTCTAATTTTCTGAGGACAGTCCTGTATAGGGATGGAACAGTCCTGGCTTGCTCTGCAGAAGCAATAAAAAGTTTTGTATTCATTCAATATGCAGACAA